ACAGGATGTCCCAAAAATGTCTCGCAATCCGAAAGTGGCGGGTTCCTCAGGCCATTTGAAGCAACTTTTTTCTTTACAAAAATTTTCTCCGAGGCACCGTTAACGAGTTATTAACGAAAAACAGTGACCAATGAGAGGCGATCTCAGCTGGCGCGAGGCGATCGGGCCAATGAGCGGAACTGGGCTTCGTGCGCTGGTCGGTTGGGCCGCCTCGCGTCAGCCGTACTCGATTCTTATTGGTCACTGTTTTTCGTTAATAACTCGTTAACGGTGTCTCGGAGAAAATTTTTGTAAAGGAAGAAGTTGCTTCAAATGATCCGAGGAACCCGCCATTTTCGGATTGCGAGACATTTTTGGGACACCCTGTAGGCTGTTGTAAATCGATGCGAAGACAAAAGAAGTGTGAAACAATGCATATGAAGGCGATTATTTGATTCAAACGATGAGCGAGTGAGCTACTAGAGTAAGCCACTATAGTGGCGCGTCGTGCCTAAAAGGTTAATGTAATTTTTTGAGATAATTTCGACTTAATTATTTCTGCCATAGATAGTACTATTGCCTAAACGGTCCACTAAGTCGTGTGCATTCAACTGGCTCTGTCTAAAGTTACATCATTGAATTGAATTTATGAACTAAATTTTACATTTACTATAACTAGATTCTCTAAAATCTATTAACGGATTCCAGATGAATGAAACTCTGAAATGATGTTATAACAGCTAATTCTGATTGTAATTGTCTAAAAAAGGAAAGAAATCTACGAACAACGAGCAGAAGTTATTTAAAACACAGCACAGTGTATGAACGGTCGTTGAAACAGAATGAAATCAGGCAGTTGATGAAAATCGTTTCGTTTAAGCTTCCGTTTAACTTGAAACTTATAATTGAACAATATTAAAGTTCATTTAACTTTTTGGCGAAGAGCACTGTTTGGTAATTATTTCGACAAGAAAGAAGTACCTACGTAACGCACAGTTCCTTTATCATGTTATAATAATTGGAAACATCATTATTAAACCTGTGTACAACTTCGGGTCGCTGGAAAGATTGCAAGTTAAATAAACAACCCGGAAGTTGGTCGCGAAAATGAATTTACGAACGATGTAATTTTAGTCGCAGTTACACCTTAACCCAGATTAAATTTTCAAAGATAACATTGACCGATTGAATCACACGTCCCAGTAAAACCTATTATGTGATTTTTCGTTTCGATTCGAGTGATGAAATACGTTCTTGTCCTTTAGTGGAAATGATAATTAGCGAGCAGTTGAAAATGTCGAATGTTTATAAAGAAATGTTTGTGAAATAATGACGCTCTGCCCGGACGGTAAGATATGAACGTTTACCAAATGAAACTTCATTGTACGCTCGCTATTGCAATTATGCATCGTGAAAAAAAAATGATTAAAACACCAGGCTGCAGATGTCAGTTAGTCGTGACGATATGCAGGCTCGAAGGGCCGCGTTTGCGAATGCGAATTCCTTGCTCGGAAACAATCGGATTTGTGAAGCAACGTCTCGCCGAATTACTAAACGAAAAGCATCGAAATTGGAAACCGGATAGGATGAAGCTCTGGAACAGAGGTTTTTATTTGGATGACAATCGTACCATCTCCGATTACAATTTGACTTCGGAAGATCGAATAATGCTGCTACTTGACGACCGTTGTTCCCAGTGACAGAAGACAACACTGTTTGTTCCTTTCCGGAAGAGTTTATGCGAATTTCGAGTCCGTTGTTCTGCCCTTCGTTCGTTCCCGTCTCAAACAATTACAGGAATTTTTGCGAAATTTCTAAAATAAAGTTTCTACGTTCTCTCGTTTTTATAACTATTAATTTATATTTTTATTAACACCTTTTTTTGTATATGATGTATTGTTTACATTTGTTAGAGAATAAAACCAACCGATTGAGTTTCAGTTATGATTGCTTGTTACAATTTCATTGTGAACTGTAGCGTTATACAGTAATTAAAAACAACTAAACACATCACGCACGCGTGTTTTGAATTCAAGTGCGTTTTCAAGAATATAAACAAAACAATGATTCTTTAGATTTAATCTTTGGTCTCTCATTCGAGTAACAATAATTATAAAATGATTTTGATTGATTATTTTGATTGTCAATATACTTCAAACGATAGAAATGCTGCTTCTGTCTTAATAAAATTGATAATTTAATGCTTTAAATACTATATAAATATTGTTTAACGTAGAGAACCTGTGATCGCCAGATTTTCTAAATTGCTTTCTAAAAATCCATTCTTCTCGAGCTTTCATTTCTGTAAAATTTTTTCCATAAATATCATAGTCAGAGATTAATTTCATTGTGTAAAAATGAGAAACAGCACGGTATTTCGTAATTACTTTGTGCTACTTCGAATAACGAGCTTCTACGTTTAAATTATCATTCTACATCTTGCTTACACAAATTCAATTTGGTGTAAGAAGTGTTCGGTTACATAGATCGAATTTTAAAATATCATTCTTCACCCTCCTTTTTGCTTCTGAATTTCAAAACAGATTAAAACGTATAGAATTCTACCAATACTCATCATGCTTTCGGATCTCTACGTTATATAAATACTATTAATAATCTTTGGACGGTTAGCGATGAGAAATTGATCGCTGATTTAATTATAATTAATAATTAATGTAATTGTTCCAGTCAACTGATGATCCAACCACAGGATTAAGGCCTAATTTTCGTTCTGTACGATATTGCTCATTGTCCTGGAGCTCTGTTAACAAAAAAAAAACAAAGAATAGAACATACACAAAATGCAGAATATATCTCTCTATATCTAAGTAAATAAAAAAAATTTGTAGGACATTGATCACCGATGCTAATTGTTTAAACAATTATTAAATATTTTATAATCTTTAAAAACGAAACGTTTCTTCTGTTCTTTACAGTTTGTTAGTTCGAAAATAAAATCGAAAGGTAACTACATAATCAAGCGTTAATTTCAAATTCATTAACTATGAATTCGGGTAGAACATAGAAAAAATAATAGTACGTAATGTTGTAAAAAAAGTACAGAAAAAAAAATAATTGTAAAGAAGCGTCTCAGCTGCTTGAATCATAACAGTTTCGAAAAATGTTAAGAATTAGTAGCTAAGAGCAAAATCAATATGTGAAAAGAAGATATGAACAAAAAAGGAAAATAGATTTATGTTTCCACGAACACAGCACGAGTTTCCCGAAGCGAGCCAAAACAAGTAAAGTATCGTATTACACGCCTGAGCGTCCTCATGAGTCGTGACTTCGTCCTTGAAGTTCCTCCTCCTTCCTCAATAAATACTACCATAATTTTTAATACCGTCATTGCAAATAAAGACAACCATACAATTGTTACAACTGTGGCTAATTTCTCTGGGAGTTAAAAAAAAAAATCGAGATGTACTAAAACTATAATTATTTATGACTTAGTCAAAAATTTTTTCACTTACGGCAATTTTGGAATGTAGTGTTGATAAAATGATGCATCTTCGAACACGCGTCGATGATGGCATCCTCCTTCGTGGCCATCACACCGCCGTGATACTCGAAGAAAAATTGTGTATCTTTGAAAATTGTAATCTGAAAAATAAACCAAATAAAAATGTAACCAATAAATTGTTTGATACGTATTATTTGTTTCCTTACTTATTTTCAGAAATATCAAATTTGTTCTGGGCTTCCAACATTTTATTCTACCTTGAACAAGCCAGACCCTACATTTAAAGAAGACAAACTTCTGCTCACCTTGCAAACAAAGTTCGGCGGAACACCAAGATGCAGGAAGTTGAAAACGCAACGCGCGCCGAATTTGTCCTTAATAAAATTTTGCAAAATGTTCATATGCACCAACGAGGCATCAACTTCTTCGTTATCATTGTAGTCTGTCTTCACTTTTTGGTACTGCTTTTTCAGCAGAGTTTGCTTCCTACGGTTCTGTTCGTTCTTCTGGAAATTTGCTTTTGCGACTGCTTCGTTGATACACCGCTGCCTTTCCAGAATTTTCGAGGCTCCGATCGGTTTCGCCCAACTAATTTCCCAGCCTTCGGCCTGAGCGACGCCATCTTCTTCTGATAGTTCAAGAAAGTTTTTAGTGAACAAGAAAGTACGAGTTTAATCGAACGATCGAAAAGGATTAATACACACTTGTCATGATGCTCATCACGGTCTCGGCTGCTTTACGATTTTCATAGTGGATGAACGCAAAATGATTGATCTTCTTCAGCTTTAGTATGGGGATCTTCGTGGTCTTCTGAAATATGTCTCGAACTTTCTGTTGCGTAATCTCGATCGACAAGTTTCGCACGAAAAGTGCTGTGACCTAAGAATCACGATTTTTGCAAACGTAAAATCTCGACTAATTTAACGCAGAGACAAAACAGCGGCCATTTTAATTTCTGGCGAAAAAATTTGCGCGGTGCAAAAACGGTGCATCAGTGTGCAAAAACGATACTTCATTTGATTTATTTAACGTACGTCCTCCGTAGAAAAGATAAATAATTACAACTACCGAAAAGAGACGAACGCCTTAAAGTAATTCCTACCGCAAACAGTTAATAATAATAATAAACAATTAATATAATAATAATAATAACATAATATAATTAATATAATTAAAATAATATAATAATAAACAATAAAGTGTTACGAAGACTATAAACTGTAAAAATAAATTAATTTATTACGGAGGCTTACGAGGACTTCACCGTTTCAAAAGATCCGATGGATAATACCGAGTTAACAAAAACACCACATACAGCAACAAATCATAAAAATTTTTACCGTTTTCATGATCTCCTCGTCGATAGGGTCGCCAGGTTCTGGATCAGCCCAATCGACCGCGATTTCGTGGTCCCAGAGCATAACCTTGCCCGGGATTAATTTTCGTCTAGCCATGGCGGCTGCTCTGTGATCTTTAAACTCGACGAAAATGAATCCACGGTTCTGCGTCTTGTCGTGAGCGCTCGGGTACAGATAGATGTCGGTGATGCCGTCGAGTATCTTGTTCAGCTCCCGCAGGAACTCCTCCCTGCCCTTGTTCTTCGGCACCCCGCCGAAAAACAGCCGACAATTGTCCACCGATTTCACGACACCGATACGATGGCCGGGTCTAATCTCGAAGCCGTCCAGCCGGTTGCAAGCACGTCTCGCGACTTTCGAATCGTCGAACAACGCGAACGCATAACCGCGCGTGGACCCGGAAAAGTCGAGCATCAATCTCAGCTCGCTCAGACGACCGATCTTCTCGAGGATCGGCATCAACTCGTCCTCGTAACAGTCGCGGGGCAAACGTCCGAGGAAAATCTCGGCACCTTTCACACGTTGCTTCTCACCGCGCACGATCTCGGGCGCTGTCAGTCGTCGCTGGCCGTTTTCCTGCACCAGCTCGTAATTCGTTCTCTGCAGCATTTCCAGCAATCTTATGGTCAGTTGACACTCGGCCGGGGCAGAGGAGATCGACGACTTTGTAATTTCCATCGCGAGAGAAAGAGAGCTTCGGTCCCCACACTGAACGCTCGCGAAACCGATAGACCAACTGTGCCTGGGTCCGAGATCCGGCCTTTTTCCTTCGGCCGTTCTGCCGGCACCTACACCACCGCCTCGCGCTGACCCCCTACTCGAGGCAGAGTTCTTCGAAATCTGGGACGGTCTTTCCATCAAAAGACCGAACGCGGTTGCATGGTGTCGCTCTTTAATACTTCTGCGTGTGTTTTGGGGTTAAAAAGAGATAACGCCGACTCTACGTATTATGCCGCGAGAGAACACAAGCTGCGCCAGGAGCACGTGCAAGCCGTATCGGGTTTTATATTGTTCGGGGAGATATTGTGCCCTCTGTTCGATGATGAGGTGAGTTTTGTTTTGGCAGACGTATTTTTTTTTTTGTAATGTATAATTATATTGTTCTTGAAAATAAAGTGTAGCAAGGATACAATTTTCAGATTAAACTTTGTGGCACATTTATACTTCCTATATCGTAAAATGTGAAGTATGTTCTTAGATGATGCGTTCTTATTATATAGAAATTGTAGCAGATATTAATTATTACTAAAAATTGTAGCAGATATTAATTATGATTTTGCAATATTAGGACAGTATGAATATAAAATGTATGTATAAACGAAGATATAACTTTGCTTACTAAAAATTGTAGCAAATATTAATTATGATTTTGCAATATTAGAACAGTATGAATATAAAATGTATGTTGAAGTAAAACTGTCTTCGTTTGCAAGTAAGTGGAAATTTAATTTCCATGGATTGCAAACTAATGGCGTAAGAAGAAATTCGAGATATAATGTAGGAAAATGTGAATTTGTAATACGATTCAAGACGGACTAAATGATTCTAATTGCTAGTGATGTAATAATGTATCAGACATAATTTTATTAATAATTAATTTCTTGCAATTACTTCTTGATCAGCTGCGAAAATTCATTTTTATTCAATATAGAGGACACGAGAAAAGACATATTTAGTGTATTTGTGTTAAAATTCTCACATTCTCTTATTTTACTCAGAATTTTCAGTATGATTGATTTTATACCTAGGTTTCGAGTACGCTATCGAAATATATTTCAAAACCATAGTAAACTATAATTTCCCGGCTTCAATTGAAAGTCTCAAATATTGCAGAATATTAACGGGAAGGCATCGAAATATTAGGTAGCTTTTTCCAGCGCCAATACACGTAGTGGTAAAACGCTCAAAATGTTCAAGAAATTTACCAACGGGTAAATAAATTTTAGCGAGTGGTGGCGCCACCTGTGGTGAAACGCTCAAACTGTTCGTCAAAATCAACTGTAGAGTAGATCGAATACCGTGCGAGCAATGGCAGGGCTGGTAAATAAACTTTTTTTGAATTGATAATTATAAATGAATATTACGCAGTTAAATATGTTTGAAAATGCTATTTCTATATGTAATTATTATTTTAAGGAAAGTTTATTTGCCAAATTTTGTACTACCTCAGAAGATACAGACTATTTCAGAAATCTATTTTTACCAGCCCTGGGTAATGGGCATAGACGAGGTATCAGACCTATACCTCATCTGTGATAATACATTGAGTGTCAAATCTACTCCCATACCTCATTTCTGCTACGTCTTTTCCTATACCTAGCCTGTGTTAGGTCTGCTCCTATACCTCATCTGTGATAATACATTCAGTGTCAAATCTACTCCCATACCTCATTTCTGCTACGTCTTTTCCTATACCTAGCCTGTGTTAGGTCTGCTCCTATACCTCATCTGTGATAATACATTCAGTGTCAAATCTACTCCCATACCTCATTTCTGCTACGTCTTTTCCTATACCTAGCCTGTGTTAGGTCTGCTCCTATACCTCATCTGTGATAATACATTCAGTGTCAAATCTACTCCCATACCTCATTTCTGCTACGTCTTTTCCTATACCTAGCCTGTATTAGGTCTGCTTCTATATCTCGTCTGTGCTTATAACTCATCTGCATTTATACTTCGTACGCGCTTTGGATTTTCTTGATCTTCAAGCAACTGTTTTATCGACTTAAAAAAGCACAACTGTTTACAGCGCCCTTTTCTGATAGACAACAAATAGAAGCTTTCAAAAAGCTCGACTTTTAGCGAAAAATGATTTTCAAAACTCCATCACGTCGGGAATGACTTGTATTTCGAAAACAAAATAGTTACAATTATCCATCGCGTGGATAAATAATTTTAAAATATCCACAAAATATTCGTACATTCTTAAAGATATTTCTATGCCTATACTGTAATGCCAATCTATCTCATTCTATTAAATCAATTAATTTAACATTATTATTATTATTTAATAATAATAATAATGTTAAATTAATTGATTATATTATAATATTATTATATAATTATATGATTATAATTATAATATTATATATTATTTAATAATAATAATAATTATTATTATTTAATTATTATTATTATTGTTATTATTATTTAATATTATTAATATTCAATATTAATAATATTTAACAATATTTAACATTGAGGCCCCATCAAATCCATCAAAAACATTGATTTAAACGTGCATTCCAAATGCATGTACGTATTCAACACAGTTGTTTGCACAATTAAGATACGCGCCACAATAATGTTGTGCAGACGGGTCCGATTGTCCGGCTACAAACAAACTAGAGTGGGTCAAAAGCGTTTCAAACATTTGCTGAAAGAGAGTTAGCAGCAAATCACTGTATGTATAATATCTAGAACAGGATCGTCCTGTGCACACAGCACTCTGAAAATGTTCACAACCGCACGCAATATTCGTTGCAATAATAACCCTCCCGATGGCAGCGGAAGTTCGTCTTAACTTCCGCCCGACCGGAAACTGAATCCTTTGAATTGATTCAAAAGCTTGATTAGCACGTTGATTGCTGCCGGAAAACGCGCGCGCGCGCGCGCGCTTTCGCGTTCGCGTGTATACGTGCACGCGTCTTTCACGGGGAATAGAAGACACCCGCACGGCCCTCCTCGCTATTGAAGACACACGCGCGATCGTATTCCATCGACAAATTGCTTTCGTTACGAATCGATGACATCGCGGTGCACAAGTCCGTTTCGAATTGGAAACATTGGACGAATTCATTCGCGCATTTGCGTAGCGCCAGGCCGCGGTGAAGTTGTCACTTCACGGCGGACTTGTCCGAATCAAATATTTTAAATTTAAATGAGAACCGCGCGCACGCGAGTGTGGACGTATGTTGGGCGTGTGACACCGATGTGTCGCGCCAGAAATTCGGAATAAGCATCGAGGGATCGTGTAAATATTTTTTCAAGAACGGCGCCGGTATTCCAGTGAACAAATAGCAGAGGTTTCGCGCCGCAAATGTAATTCTTTCGTAGATCGTATTTACCTTTTCGAACTTTAAATTAACCCTTTCGGTAATTAAATTCACTCCAGAGATCATTTACGAAATTTAGTTCAATTTTTAAATACGATGCGAATTTCTATACTTCTTTACAATATAATTCAATTTTCGTTACGAGCAGTTAATCTGTAATAATTACCTTTAATTTAACCTTAATTCAGTTCTCAAAAATTTATTATGAGTTTATATAATTATTTACGAAGTAATGGAATTTTCATCGCGAGCAATTAACCTGCGACAATGAATTATGGAGTTTATTCTTTTTCTTTTAATTGAATGCGAATTTCATTGCGAACAATTTGATTATAAATACGTTTATTTGCAAAAAGGGGGATTAAAACTTACAAAACGGTTGATGTCAAGTGCGGAAATATGAATGTGATCTATGAAAGGATTAACGCGGTAATAAAAACCAGACGTTTTTCTACCGTTAATTGTTAACGTTTTTCGGTTTTACGTTGCGTAGGTGGTTTGCACATTCATTCGAACGCGTACATTTTTATTTCAAGCGACGTAGGGTCGAATTTCTGTTACCGTGAGAAGCTCAATCAACTGCACGACGTAAGTTTTCAGGGCGCAGGTGTTCTATGCCCGCCTATTGCAATTAAAAAGAAAATTAACGTCGCGCCCGAGTCGCAATTATACAAATCGCAATGAGATTCAGCAGTCTTTGCTTGCTAAAGCTTCCGCGTAACGCCCGTATTTTTCGTCGCAACTTTAAATTGTGTTATCCCCGGTTCTGACTGAACTCGCAATTGTTTCGCTTGTTTTTTCCCGCCGGTGTAACTCGCGTCGCGTGTTTATCTTTTAAATTACACGGTTTGCGAATCTGGCGTTGCTTGCCGCGATTATTGTTGCCGGGGCCGTATTTTCATTACAATCGGCCGCAAGCAATCGGATAAAAACACGCTGTCTCAATTGAATCACAACATCTCGTTTGCCGATCGATCAGATTTCACGCATTCGCGGCTGGCACGCGCGCGCGAGTTTCGTGGAACGGGTTTATTATTTTTTTTCACCAGATTTCTAACGTCAGTTGAATATTGAAATTGCAAAATTAAAATCATGACAATCGTGACATTCGAATTTGATGAATTATCGCATTAGTTCTCGAACATTCTTTGCGTCTTTTAGAACCGGAAACGCGCGATCCACCGAAATTGAAAATGTGTCACGGATTTAACCCCTTAATGCACAGTTTTTTTGAAAAAGGCCGGCCAAAAAAAATCAATTTTTTTAAATGAAATAAACACAATTTAGAATATTGTCTTTGCAAGAAAATTACAAAAATACAAAAATAATCAAAATTTTTATTGCAATTCTAATTTTCAGAATATTATTATTATTATTATTATTATTATTATTATTATTATTGTTATTGTTGTAGAATGAAAGGATACTCAAAAGCACTTTATTTAGAGTTACAAATTCTACTCCAGAACATTCGCGTATCCAGTAAAATAAGTGATGGTGATATATTGCAAAACTACAGAGATACAGAAATCTGGTGTTGGTGAAAATCCCGAGGTGGCAACCTCACGGTTCGGTGTCTACTTTTGAACTGTCGTCTGGGCCCACCTGGGCCTCTGTAGGCAACGACTCACCCTCGCAAGG